GCAGACAATGACAGTATGTTCCAAAATATCTAAACTGTAGCATCAATAAATCAAGTGTCTGATTGCTGGAGACTTTATTTGCTCGCTGAACCTTGCAGACAATGACCTGTATGATTTAAAATATTCATAAATTAAGTGTCTGGTTGAAAGAGACTATATTACACCATTATATTTACTGACATTTTACTTTATAGATTCTATCGGTATTGGATAAATCTAATCTGGTAACTATGGAAACCAACTAACAACAAACAATGTACTTGATTTAGATCTATCAATGTATTGTTAACTTTATTAATTACATCATCTCACTCAATACAAACATTGCAATGATCAAACTAGAAATCAATTCTAGATTTTTAAATCAGGTAAAAAGAGAAATAGGATTTAACGTCCACTCGACTCTAACTAGGTCATTTCAGGAGTAACACATGGTTCAATTTTATTTCAATGTGCGCGTAGGGGTCTTTAGCGGTGGGAGGAAACCGGTGGATACAGAGAAACCCACAAGGTTGGACAGGCGATCCAAACCAATCCACTTGACTCAATGTCAGAACTTGTGATGCAGCGCGCACATGCTAACCATTCGGCCATCCAACCCCCCGAATCAGGTCAAGAGAAAACAAAAGTAAATGGTTCAACTTATTTTCAATAAAATACTTCTATCCTTTTCAAAAGAACATATAATTATTTTTAGACATTAAAAATTTTTCATCATTTTGAGACTAACATGTGGTAATTATTTTTCCTGCCTGCGCAAAATTTCCCTCATAGCAAGCACACTGCATGGTGTATGCCCGTTGTCATTAGCCCAGTTGGAGCAGAAAGTAAGCCATTGAGCCCAAATTCATTCTTTCATTTCGAAGATTAGAAGCAGATGTGTGTATTCACACTCAACTTACTTAAAACCCAATATAATTTATAATATTTGTCAAACTAAAATACACAACACAAAAGTATTGTCGTTTAATCATAAAAGAGGTCAATAGAAAATTCATGTGGGCAAAAACGCAACCCCGCCTTTTTCATTTATATGTCAATCTGATTCAGATGTGTTTCTCCCAGTGTCGAGTGCTGTATAAGAATATGATTGGTCAAGTGCAAATATCAAACAATATTAATGGTACAAACAGGAAGTTGTCTATTTATAGGCTGCCACCCACAAATGAATGGGATATCTTTTATCTCCCCAACAACCTATTGAATAAATTGTGAAAATTGTCATTTCTTATCAGTTATTAGGATTGATTTATGATACGAAGTTGTTTATTGGTCAATTCAGATGTTTGATAATAATTATGAGACCATCGCCTTTATTGCTCCATGGTATCTGTTGAAGTAGCCTGGTTTCCAATTTTGTCAGTGGTGCAGGACATAGAGCAGAAAATTGTCTAGCCAATGGGATAGTACGAAAAACTGGCTCTTCTAATCCATTTAATATCTAAGCCATCTGGAGATCTATAGAGTTAATTATTGACTTGTCATGTAAATAATAGTCTAATTAGTAATCTATATAACATTTGAAGCCTGAAGAAGAACCTACAAACAGCTGGTTTTAGCTCTTAGATAATGCATCTTTAACTTAAATCTGTTTAAATCTGAGTTTGGGAGATAATAAACTGAAATATCTTACTTCTAATCTATTTAATTAAAATATATATTAAAACTTTCTAGTCTATATTTGTGGGTTAAATTGCAATAATGAGATTAAAATCAATGATTTCAGATTCTAACAGTTATTAATAACTAAAATAAATCATCTCCAATAACATCACAATTGACATAATCTTCTCATAGGATTATATAAATCTCATTAGATTCTTTAATTGGAAACAGATATGGTAGTATATATATCACAGCTTATAATTAGGTTTAATAAAAATAATAATAAATGGGTTTACGGTTACCCGTCCCCCTCCAAAATAGGGTTCATTAGCCAGTCAGAAAATCTTTATGTTTTATCAGTGGGATTTGTGGGGCAAGATCTGGTAGATCTAACGTAACTAATATATATTAATCTTGTAATAAGCTACTTCGATTCTTGCCTTCTATAGCCTTTGTTGCATCATATTTAACACATTTTAAAACATTTCTTGTTTAATTACTGAGTATCTTTGGGAAAACATTTGACGGTCAGAATGTTGTAAAAATCAAAATTTTGAAATTTGTCTGCGGAAGGCAAAACCGATTTATAACATTTAAGGCCTGAAGAAAGACCTGCGTAGGCGAATTTAGCTCTTGAATAATGCATGATTTATCTTTAAAAGGAAAATAAAACCAAAACTAATTGTATTCAATTTAGTATTTACAATTTAACATCCTCTGCAGATTACATCAACAGGATATGATCCAAATAAGCCAGCATTGCCTTTAATCTATGCTAAAATCTTTTGATGGGTCTTTCCATTACATGCGGAACTGCAAACCGTGTGATGGTAGGAACCATTGACAGTGCACATGTCTTAGTGCAACGAGGGCTTTACTGAAACATGTTGCTCCCTGCCAACACCCGCTGAACAGAAAACCTTGTGTGACATATAGCGAGGCTCTTTAGTAAATTAACTGAGTTTTGACTCAATAAAAGTTGTAAGCAGATCCAATGAAATAGGATTATTACACTGCACTTGAACTTCTTGTTGACCCACTGTTTCTGAACTGCTCAGATATCACACCAAGACCACTTCAAACAATTAAAACTCTATGATTATTAAAAGAGTTTGCTAAGTACGATATTATGAAGTTTAATCTTTAAAAGGAATATCAATCAAAAAATTGTTCAATGGGGAATCAATGCAAAATCTGGATAAGGGATGCATGGAACATATCAAGAATCTGTTCATCAAAGTTTAGTTGTTTGTCTCATTAGAGTGTAGGGGTTTCACCAATCAGTGTTTTGGGGTTTCCTGCTTCAGAGTTTTGGGGGTTGCCTCACCAGAGCGTAGGAGGTTGCCTCACCAGAGCATAGTTGATTGCCTCACCAGAGTATAGAGGGTTGCCCATCAGAGTGTGGGGGTTTACCCCATCAGAGGGATACTAAACAAATATCTATATTGGGTACGTCTAGAATGATGTTGGGACAAAAACAATAACAGAAATTCAATATTTGATAGATATTCAAAAGCCTGCTAAATCTAATCGTAAAAAGACACTGGTATTAGTGCAGAATAATTGGCACAGTTCTTCAAGTAGGTCTGAGTTTATGGGAAATGCTCAATTGTAACACTGCACGCCCTTGCACGGTCAGGTCAAAAGTTATAATGTAATAAGTTTTCACGGTATGTTCAATATAGATATTAGACCCATGAATAGATCCAATCTTGTAGGTCAACATTTTCACACACAGGTTCATGATATGTCCCTTGCTAACAGTAAGTGCAGGAGAATCGCACTACAAGAACAAGAGAGAGAGAGAGAGAGAGAGAGAGAGAGAGAGAGATGCAGTTTAATGTTCACTTGACACGAACTGGGTCATTTCAGGACTAACATATGATTCAATTTCATTTCTATAAAATGCTTGCACATTGAGGTGTTTAGCAACAGGAGGAAACCGGAAGACCAGGAGAAAACCCACAAGGTTGGACATGCAACCCTACTCCTTGTAATGTACAAGTGGGGAATTGAAACCCCACCACTTGACTCAATGACAGACCTTCTGACCTAATGCATTAACCATTCGGTCACACAACCCCCCCACACGCAAACAAACCATTCTATTTCAGTATTTCACTGGCGCGTAGGGAGGAAAACCAGATGTCCCAGAGAGATCCAACTAGGTTGGACAGACGACCCTACTCCTTGTCACGTACACCCCAGGAATCGAAACCAGGCCACTTGACTCAATAACAGACCTTATGATCTAAATCTCACAATTTGTCTTATTCGGCCACCGAATTCCCCTTTAAATCAAAGAGGTTCTACTTTCGTAACTAGATATGGTTTGTCTTACATTATGTAATTTACGCTGATTGTCTGACTCTCTCTACTTGACATCACAGCTTATGTTTACATATATTACACTAACACTAATTATCACATAAAGATTCCCACAGTCTACGTCTTAAAATGTGTAGACATGACAGCATGGTGTAACCATACTCAACATGCTTCAGTCTCAAAGTACTTGGAAATATACATGAAATTTTCAGCTTTAACTTCTGTTTGATTAAAATATGAAATATCTGAGCCATATTGAAACAGGTCTGAGTTGGAAAGTATTTGGAAATACTTAGTGAATCTGGTGGCCATTTTGACTAAACATGTAAAGAAATTAGCCACTTAAACTTGAGGGTAGAGGGGAAGGGGGTCTGTTGGTCACACTATATAATATCTTTGACAGGACAGCAGTATTTGGATGTACACAGTGAAACTCGTTAGCATTTTGACTTATAAAATGTGCCACTTTAGCTTAGTTGTAGAGGTATGGGGGTTCTGTTTGGTCACAATATAGATATATAAATATCTGCAACATCTCAGCATGGTGTAGCCATATTAAAACAGGCATGAGTTTTGAAAGTATTTGGAAATATACAGTAACTCTTGTGGTCATTTTGACTAATGAAATTTTCACTCTTAACTTTGCTGTTCCTGTGAAGGGGTTCTGTTTGATCACAATATATAATATCTTATTCTTAGCCATAACAGAATGGTGTAGCCATATTGAAACAGGCATGAGTTTGATACTGATAGTATTGGAAAATATATGTAAATCTTACAGCCATTTTGAGTGAAGAAATTAACCATTTTAACATTTTGGGGATCTGTTTAATCAAAATATAAAATATTTTAAGAGATCTTGTTTGTGGCTGTAACCAAAGTCAACCCCCAAACACTAATTGGCACCAATAAAATTTTATGTCTAAAATGTGAAAATAAAACAGCATGGTGCAGCCATATTGAAATTTGAAACATATGCATGTGTCTGAAAGTGGCCATGCTGTAACTCTCCAAAGCAGACATTTTAATTCCTTGTGGACATAATTATGTAACGTAACAAGACTTACCTTGAACTGAAACTGTCTGTCTCTCTATCAAGGCCTGTCCACCCGTCTGGCCATCTCTGGGTATAACCTTTGAAAGATGATCAAAAGGAACCATTGTGAGTGCGCTCATAATATCCAATACACATTCATAAAATTCAAATCAACAAATTAAAAACATGCAATTCCTAACTAAACATGCTTACAATTCGTCATAAAATCAACGTTTCAATATATAAACACTCAACATGTACATGTCTTTATAGATCTCCAGGTATCAATATTAATCCTTTTTATAAAATAAGTCAAGATTTTACACAATATACAACACAATTAAATTCCTCGAGACACCCAAACAAATCTGGGTACGTTTATCATAAGACATATATAAGTAGCTTCACACGTTAACGTCCCAATCGGTAACAGGCACAAGAAGATTTTATTTTTTGAAAAATAATCCTCATATATTTCACACCATTTTTTTATCCTTGAGCAAATATCTACTTATTTCTCGTATACCATATATTACTCGACATGTGCCAATTGCTTTGTTTACTCTTGATGCAACATGGAGAACAAATCCAACGTTAGTTTTGGCAATAAGTTACACCAAAATATGCAACCTCGTTCTTGAGTTTAAATTGGTAACTTGATCCTTGTTTCAAAAGCTCTTTTTTTTTTCTCGAGTCTCAAAGATAAAGTTTTTTTTTATCTACACAAGCACACAGTAGAACACCGGGAATCCATTTTGAACTGCTGTTGACTGTTGATATAGAATAAAATGGTGGTTTGCAGCTGTCGGGGTGTAAAATGTACACATCCTACAGATGACTGTTTGTGTGTGAGAGAGAGACATAAACCCACCAGTCCTATAGGAGGGTGTAGAGTCTATAACTGACCATCAGATTGGTTATTAGGTCAAAGAGAAAGGCCTCCTCTCCTGTATTGTAATAACCTGTGTGGCTTGACACAATTGATGTGGTCTATTTAACAAGCAGTTGATTATAAGTTGACTGGATTCTCCCTGACTTGAAACCACTACTGCCATACACACACACTAATCTATTTATAAGCTTACATATTTTTCCCTGTTATAAACTTATTGATTATAACTCCACGAGTGGAATAATAAAGAACACGATTGCAGCATTAATGGTATTAAAACATCCCATATATTAATTGATTTGCCTCAGTGAGCAATATCATCCAACATATATATGTAAGCATAAATTAAAGGCATAAAGATCAATAGATATAGAGTGTATGTCTACAGGGCCTTGAAGTCATCCATCAACAGAGGTTTATTACAAACTGTTTCTGTATATATTCCTATGTACATTTCATTCCATATTAATAAACAAATGTCTGGCGTGTTTTAATAACTGATCTAATATTAAAGATAAAACTAGTTACAAATTCACTGGGTCATATTCCCTCCTGCAAATACAAACAGGAGTTAACACCCGTTTTCGCCAAGAGTGATATCACAGACAGAAGCAGATACTGTTGGTTTCTGGGGGTTATCACCTGCTTCCAACGAGGTTGATATCGCAGACAGAAGCAGATACAGTTGGTTCCTGGGGTTAACAGTCCTTTCCTCCACAGGTGATATGATATCACAGAAGGAGATATAGTTCGTTTGTGGTGATATCGTAAAAGCTAAATGCAGGTATGGCTACTCGGTCACTTTATAATATACATAAATATATCTATTCCCTACAGACGCTGGTATACGTCTTGCTCCTTTTACAATTACAATAATTCTCCCACGTTCACAATATGCGTGTGAATTTCTCAACCTCGAAAATAATCGAGTCCATATATCTAGACGGAAAAAAATAATGAATCGGACAGACCATGTGAATAATAACAATCCATGGTACACAATTAAACTACAAATTCTCAAACAATAACATAGCCTGGCTATACAGTATACACAATGGCACAGATACCAGAATTTTCCCAACAATGAAACAAACGTTTGAAGAGAAAACAGCGAATAAAACACATGTCTGTAACATTCATGAACTAGAAATGTCAATATATACGTTAAGAAGGCTAACTACGAGTTGGCGATATCTTCCTGTTTAAAACCAAACTATTAACCAACATATCTTAGCCTGACACTAACTGTTGACGCCTCGGGGCACATATCATGTTTAAAAATCTACCCTTGTCTAAAAATAGCTGGGGAGTGAGTCAATGGGGTAGCCCGTTGTTTGTAAGCCAGTATAATGTCATTAGTAGGTCTTATCATTCTGTGGTTTTGATAATCGTTATAGAGACTGGGGAGTGAGTCAATGAGGTAGCTGGTTTGTTAAAACCTCATAATGTCGTTAGAATGTCTTATCATTTCGTGGTTTTTGATAACTTATATCTTTACACTTGGGTTTGTCTGGCTCGGTATGTTAGTTTACTCCTGTAATATTACTACCCATCACACCTTTATTTTTTGTCTGCGATATCACTTCTATTCATTGAAAGTAGAGACTATATAGAGCTATTTCTCGCACCTTTATTCTAGAACATTTTAGGTATAATTTGTGTGGGAGGTCAGGTGTTATGGTGTCATTATCACACCTTCATAATCACTCTGTTTGAATCACTTTTTGTTTTAATCCCAAAATGCTTTAAGGATTTGGTAGGGATTATAGATAATGATGTTAACACTTCTTAAAACGAATCATTTCTATAGCATTGAGAAGACCTAATTAAATGAAATGAAATGGGGTTTAACGTCCAGACCTAATTAAACTTGAAATACATAGGACACATGGAAATACACAGGACACATGGAAATACACAGGACCCATAGAAATAAACAGGACTTATGTCTGTGATATCACCTCGGTGGAAGCGGACGTTAAATAAAACTATTTCACACACACACAGAATTCATGAAAATACACAGTACACATGGAAATACGCAGGACTCATGGAAATATACTGGACACATGGAAATATGCAGGACACATGGAATACGCATGACACATAAAAATAAACAGGACACATGGAATACTGTTTATTACTGTGCATTGGTTGATAAAGACTAGAGATTCCTAGTTAGAACAGGCAGGGAGGGAGTTAGGATAGCCTAGCGGTATAGCTCTAGCTGGGTGGTCACCTCTGGTTTGTGGTCGTGTTTTCGATCCCTGGTGTGAGCGTATGTGGCTTGGAGCCACAGGAAAGATCCCTGCGCATACGCTAAGATAATAAAACTGAAAATATGACAACTTGCCTGCGATATCACCCTTGGTGGAAGTGGATGTTAACACCAACTTGTTAGGAACGTTGCCCAGTATTAAACAGTAATAATTGTATTCTATACAATTGTGTCCTGTCCTGTGACTCTTAAAAATTAACCAACAAAGTTTTACATATCTTGATTCTGTGCATTTTGTGTTTAGTTTCTAATTTGAGTCTTGGGTAAAAATGGACTTAAAAAAGTTATATTTTGTTTTTTTAATTCCATAAAACAATATTTATTCATAAAATATAAAATAAAACATGACAGTTTTAAGGATATGATACAAGTACAACCTAAAAGCTTATACAAATTTTACTTGTTTTTAGAAAGATATTAAATTAACTTTCATTAACACTACATAGATTACATATTTAATTTGTATAAAATTTTAAAAGTGTTATACATGACGCTGTTATGGGTTGATCTATATATTAAATGTAACATTCTATTTTTAATTGAAAAATTTGTGTAGGTGTTAAATATAATGCCTTGAATTTAAACTCCCACCAAGCCAATGATTTAATCAATGTACAAGCTGGGGTATCAAATTATCAATCTAATTCAAGGTGTACTTTATTTTATTTTATATTATAATATAATGGTTCAGAAAGTAAAGCATTGGTTGAGAAAGTTTCACCATTGTGTAGAACAGAGGGCCTGCCAAGGAACAGCTCCTGGCCTGGTCTTTTGGGTGGGAGGATGAATGGGGTCCTGTGTGCATGTTGGCATGCATGTGTAAGAACCCTTGTGAGGTAAAATTCAATAAAATGTAAAGTAAAATTTTACTCATAGCAGACTGTATAAAAGTCATTTGGACAGGGTTAATGTTGTTGGAAATATTAGTCTTTGCGCAGGGTTAAATTAGGGAAAAAATCATCTCCTTTGCTTAATAGTTTTTTTTTAGAATTTTTTTAAAAAGAATATAAATTCTAAAATACAAGAGCTGACACCATTGTTGTAAATGAGGATATTTTACGTCTGCTTCCACCTCATGTGATATTGCAGGCCATTAAATAATAAAAGGTTTTATTGATTGATGACTGGCCATGTTCTCTCTTTAAAGCTGCTGATACAGCAAATTGTCTACTAACGCAGTCTGGACTAAGTGGGAAACATCTTTGTCAGGAAATCTGTACTTATTATGATGCACCTCAAGAATGTTACCACACACATTATATAACAAAGCATGAACAGACTAATCTGACTCAACTTTCATTGTTTATATCTCAATAGAAACTGTGTGATTACAATATAAACAAAGACAGCAATTAGAATACAATTATTCTGTGTACATTACAGACATTTTTTTCATATTCCAAATGGTTTTCTTTAAGTAATTTTAAACTGTCTAATACCAATCCTTTGAATTTGGATAAACCTTTGTTTTCTTGGTTTTAACAACATTTGGCTTATTAAGAAATTTATTGAGATTTTCTGTCAATAATTGTATTAGCTCTCAGATCATTCATGATTATATTATATACCAAGTTTTCATGTACCATTACTAATGAAATGTAGCAATGAAAGGCCAAGGATTCTTACTAACCAATCACAAAGTGTAATCCCTATATCTCGGCCAACACCGAGAGCAAACCCAAGACCTTATGATTAGTGAGCCAGTATGTTACTCGCAGAACCAGAGCATCTCCCACATCCCAATATTTTAGGTAAGGGCAGCTCCACATGATGTTAGGTAAGATATGATGTATTTAGACATGCTGATATCTAAACGGTAGAAACATTTATTTTATTTATATACATACTTTAAATATTGTGTATTATAAACCATGGGTTGTATACAGATATATATGTGTATTCAGAGTGAATTATTAGGGAATATACAA